GGGATGGGCTTGGCAGTGCTGGGTTAATGCTTGGATTCAATGATCTTAAAGGTTTTTTCCAACCTAAAGAATTCGGATCAATGCCATTTTGAATTTCCATCAAGTGGCCAGGATTTAGGAAGGTGGTTTCTCTAGGGTGGGCATGCCATGAAAATTAGGGGGTGGTGGAAGGTGAAATGAACCTGGGAGGGGTCAGTTTGGTCACAGCCCAAGGTGGGCCTCCACATTTGCTGAGGTGAGCCAGGCTTAGCCCCATCCCTTCCTCCCCATGATGGAGCTTGTACCCTGATAATTGCAATGAAAGCAGCAATCAGGTTGGTAATTTTGCTGAGCTCTTTTCAGTTCTAATTAACATTATTCATTTCTTGTGTGTCCTGCTGGGTTGAGACAATCTGTGCTCTCCAGCCCAGCCCTCTGGAACACCAGCAATCTGCATAAGAGGCAACAAAAAAGTGTTGTGTGCCAATTACTACACTTCAGTAATTAAAAACCTCCTTCCCCCCACTGCCTGCCCACCTCCTCTCCTGTCATTTTTTTGTGTGCAAACTTGAGAAAGCAAAGAGAGGAATTCAGGAGGGCCCATCACTGCTGGCGTGTGCCATCTGTGTCTGCTCTGGAGTCGCAGGGAGGTGCTGGGGGCTGGATGTGGCACGGGTGGGATCAGTGGTCAGGGAACTCGGCACCCTGCTGCTTGCTTATTCCTGGTACTTGTTTGTGAGGCTGTTGTGTCCCCACTGATGGCTGTGTTGGCATTTTCAGCCCAGCTCATCTTTGTGCTCGCTGGCAGAATCCTTGTGGTGTTGCTTTCCCTCTTCCAATTTGCCTTTGAGTGCTGTCCCTGCAGCCAGGTGAGCTGCTGGCTGCACCTGTGGGGCCCTTTGGCTGCATGAGCTCAGTCCTCAGGCTGTGGAAATGTTTGGGAATACCAGTGTAGGAGAGAGTTGCCAGTCCCTAATGGATCAGCTTGATAGAGGAGGGTGGATAACAAAGCCTGGAAGTTTTGGTTGTGGGAGATGTTGACAGATCTGGAAGGGGCAGCACCAGCCTGTATCCCACGTCCTTGACTGGGGAGTGCAGGACAAGGGATGAGCAGATGGGTTGGGACGGGGGGGGAGGATGGAGATCTGCAGCTCTCACCTTGGCTCAGTGCGTGTAACCGTCTTAAAATGCCCAAATTTTTGGAGGGAGCAGAGGGTCTGGTGCTGCGTGAGGAGCTGCATCTCCCTACAAACCATCCCTGCCTGCCCCAGGATGATGCAGCAGTGATCAGTTAGGCAGCGTTCCCATCTCCCTGAGGAGATTTGAGACTCTGGGTTTATTATGAAGGAAACAGCAGAAAGGGGCAGCAGTATCTAGAGCAGCATCATCTCCACCTTGTGCTGGCACACAGCAGTTTTTCAGCTTCCTGGAGGAGAAGTTCTCGCTGTCTGAGCAGGACTGGAACAAGGATTAAGGATCTTGAGAGAGAAAATTACCTCATTTGTGCTTAATTGTTTTTAGATTATATTTTTGGAGGCAAGCACTGCTTTCCGGCACCCCAAGGACCTCTCCCTCCCCTCCTTCCCTGGCACATCACGAGGTGACAGGGAAAGTGAGAGCTTCCAGTGAGGTGGAGGAGGCATCTCAGGGCTCTGCACTTTGCCAGGAGCAGGGTGGGAAGAGGGGAGGCTGTGGGCTCGGTGGTGGTTTTGCTCTCCACCTGTGCCTGGAGCGTGGCCTCCTGGCCAAAGCCAAAGAGAGAGGAGGTGGGAGAGGAGGCTTCTCATCCCTGCGCTGGGCTGCTGGAGAGAGGAGCTGCTGGAGGAGGGAAGGAGGAGCAGATGGAGGGGCTGGAAGAGCATTGGGTCACTGTGACGAGCCTTGGCCATAGGGACCCCGACCAGCACTTGTGCGAGGAGGAGCAGGAGGAACTGGAGGAGCTGGAGGAGCTGGAGGAGCAGGAGGAGCTGGAGGAGCAGGAGGAGCAGGAGGAGCAGGAGGAACAGGAGGAGCAGGAGGAGCAGGAGGAGCAGGAGGAGCTGGAGGAGCCGGAGGAACTGGAGGAGCAGGAGGAGCTGGAGGAGCTGGAGGAGCTGGAGGAGCTGGAGGAACAGGAGGAACAGGAGGAGCAGGAGGAACAGGAGGAGCAGGAGGAGCTGGAGGAGCAGGAGGAGCACAGTGTTTGGAAGCAGCTCAGGAAGGAGCACAACTGCCAACCCCTAAATAGCCCAGCACATCCAGAGCTGAAAGCACCTCTTTCCCAGGAGCTGCTGCTGCGCTTTATTTCATATATATATATATATAAATATATAAATATATAAATATATATAGGCTCAGGAGCTTTAAGAGGCAGGGAAGAATATAAAGTAACAGCTTGAAGCTTGCCGATCCCAGGGACAGGGAAGCGTGTCTGGGTGATAAGGAGAGATTGTGCCCAGGTGCTGTGAAGGGCGAAAGCACTTATTTCACTGTTGCCTCATGCGTTACCTGAGCCCCGTTGCTTTTCAAAAGCACTTAAATGCCCATATGATAGAGGGAATGCTTGGATTGCACACTGTCTGCCTCCATTATTATCCAAGGATCTCCAAGCTGATGCATTTCATAAAGAAAACTGGCGTGGAGGAGGAGAGAGGAAATATGTATTTTTAGTTCAGCCTGCTTAGAGTTCCTCAAGGTAATGTCTGCAGAGGGGACTGGTTGAGAAATTCAAGTCACGTCTGGTTTCTCATCACCCAGCCCTGGACACCTCTGTGTTTGTGCAGAACCACCACCACAGGAGCCTATTTCATGGTACCAGAGCCAAACACCAAATAACCACTTCATTTTATTCGTGCCCCATAGGTCTGAGCTACCAGCAGAGCTGAGATTTGGAGTTCAATAGACTAAACCCATCCTCTGGGAAGTAATCTCCAGTTTAATTCAACTTGTGTAACTAAACTCTCAGGCCTTTTACTCAAGTTGTAATGCAGCTGAGAGCAAGAGCCAAGTTCTTGGTGTTCAGCCCAGACTGAATCTATTGCTTTTTTAAATGTAGATCATAAAAATCTGCTCACATTTAATTTATTATTATCGTAATATCATTATGGAACAGTAGTAAAATTGTTTAATATATCGGCTGTTTTTCACACCAGAGAGGGAGGATGGAGCAGGAGTTGGGTACTGGCAAATCAGGGGTGTCCTGTGCTGCAGACAACACATCTGACCTTGGGCATGTCTCCTCTGTCACCCCCAAAAGTTGTGTGTTGAGGCTGGGTGGGTTATTTTGGCTTCTCCTGTAATCACTGGGGCCAAAGAGGTTCCAAAAAGAGGCAGAATGAGATGAGATGACTTGTCCCCAGGTGGGTACCTGCATCTTCCCTGGCATCAGCAATGGACACAGGAAGAGAAGTCTGACACCACAGAACCATTAAGGCTGGAAAAAGATCAGTCCAACCATTCCTGTACTGCCAGGTCCTCCACTAACCCATGCCTCCAAGTACCACATCTCCGTGGCTTTTAGATCCCTCCAGTGAGTCCAGCACTGCCCTGGGCAGCCTGTGGCAGGGCTTGACCACCCTTTCAGTGAAGAAATATCCCCTAATATTCAATCTAAACCTTCCCTGGTGCAACTTGAGGCCATTTCCTCTTGTTACCTTGGAGAAAAGGTGAATCCCCACCCAAAGGAGTCTAGAAGGACCCCAATAAGGAGACAGCTCACCCAGAGAAAGGGCACACTCCCTAAAGTGTCCAGGACAAGTGCCACAGATAAAACCATCCTTGCTGTTACCTCCCATTAGTCTGGGACATGGAGCCCATCAAGTCCCTTCCATTCCTTGAGGTCACCCCACGTGAGACGTCCCAGAAGCTGCCGGGCTCCCTCGCGGTGCCTTAGAAGTGAATTTGCATCCCAGCCGCTGCACAAGTAATGAAGTGGCTTGGGGAAGAATATAAAGAGTGGATCTTAGGCTGAGTGGTTTTATGCAGGGACATTATGCTCTGGAGCCAGCATCCAGCAAAGCGTGGCTAAATCCCGATGGCTCCGTAATCCCAAAATTTCTCAGAGAGAAGCAGGGGTTTAGCTGGATGTGGGGGCTGCAGGTTTCTGCTGCTTAGAGAAGGTCTTGATGCTTGTCTGCAGATGATTTGTGGCTATGGGAGGATTCAAACTTGGTTTGGGGACATGGGGGTGGGGGGGTTACAGGGCTGGCAGAAACCTTTGGGAGAAACAAGACTGATCCCAGTTAATGTTGACAGGGAAATAATCTCCTTCAGGATCAAAATAATTTCTAGGTTTGCACTGTGTTGTCTCCAGGGGGAACTCAGGTGCTTATTGAGGCTGAATATAGAGGATTTCTACCTTCAAAACATCCCTGGATAAGTGAAATGCTCAGCAGGAGTGAGGTGCACAAGTGAGGGAGGTGCAGCAGTGCAGTTGATGGGTACGGAAGGAAAAGTTGACAGAGGGGACAAATGGTCGGATGCTCAAGGTTTCTCTTTAAAGGTGTGTGTGTGTCAGAGCTGGCTTTCTCCAAAGATAAATTTTCCTCACTCCTTTGTGAAGCAGCACAAGCTTTCCCAGCACCACTTTGCATTCCTTTGTGTGACTGCAGGGATGTGAAGTTCTGCAAACAGAATGAGAGGTGATGGATTTGGGCAGGAAGTAACAACCCGCACCGCCCAAAAAAAGTGGGGACTCGGGATGGAGGTTTGGGCTCAGCTCTGTTCGTCTGGGAGTTTGAAAAAGAATAAATTGGAATGGAGGAGTGAAAGGCTGGTACTGGGTGTCTCCCTGCATGTGGAAACTCTGTGGAGCTCTTGGGAAAATCTCTGGAGCCGCTGGTTTAGATGGATAGCGGTGCCCTGAGCACCGCAGGGAAAGTGCTGACCTTGTCCTCTTTGGACACTGAAAGCACTTGGTCCCTGAAAGTGCTGCTGACAGCAAAGCTAAAAATAGTGCCAGGAGGACCAGGAGGGCTGGCAGGGAGGGAGGGAGAGCGCCCAAGAGCAGCACACTGATGGGTCACCTCTCTGCCTCTCCCCAGGTGCTCCGTGGACAACCGGGTGACCCGAGTGGCCTGGCTGAACCGCAGCAGCATCCTCTATGCCGGCAATGACAAGTGGTGCTTGGACCCTCGGGTGGTGCTCCTGGCCAACACCAAAACCCAGTACAGCATCCAGATCCAGGATGTGGATGTGTATGATGAGGGCCCCTACACCTGCTCCGTGCAGACAGACAATCACCCCAAGACATCGCGTGTCCATCTCATCGTGCAAGGTAAGAAGAAGGGAGTTTGTAGAGGGGTTGGGCTTGGGGCTTTGCTTTCTGTTCTTTTTGGCCTGGTGTCTCCTCCTCCCGTTGCTCCTATGTTGAGCATGTTCAGCTTGGTGCAGAAGTAGAGGCTGATCCACAAACTTGGATCATCCCAAGCTGGGTAATGAATTTTACAGAGTCAGAGAATTTGCTGAGTTGGAAGGGACCCACAAGGATCACAGAGTCCAGCTCCTGGCCCAAGAGTCACACCATGTGTCTGAGGGTATTCTCCAAATGCTTCCTGAGCTCTGTCAGGGTTTATCCAACTTTGCTGATGTAATCCCAGGGCTCTGATACAGGCAGCTCTGCCTCACGACACAGCCACTGGCAAACCCGTGGTGCTGTTTGTTGTTGTTGTTTGATGTTTTTTTGTTTTCCAAGCTGGAGGCAGTGCATGAAGTAAAACTTGTGTTGGGGGGAAAGAGAGAGCTGACAGATTTGTGTGCTTTGTGGGGGTGTGTGTATGCCTAGCAACAATATGTGTTTGTGTGTTGAAATTCCATACTTTTGGAGAAGGAGGAGGAGGAGAAGGACCAGCACAGGGTGCTGGAGCACTTTTGGTGGCTAAGTGGGTGCCTCTACGTGCTCTTCAGCAAATGTGTGAGCACACACGACTTCTGGAGAGGGGACAGACAGGTGTGGCCACAGGTGATGGCCAAGCAGATGGACATTCATGGAAGATAACTCCTGTGCCCATGTGGCAGGACAAGAGCTGGACAAGGAGGAGCCTCGTGGAGGGACACACAGAGCCTGATGAGCTCTTAGCTTGGGGCAAGATTAATGGAAAATTCCTAATCCCTTGCTAGCAACTGGGGTTTTTTTCTGCTGCTTCTTCTGTGATTTGGCTGGGAGCCCTCTTAACATGACACACCAGCTTGGGTATTGGAATCTCGTCTTGGGCTGATTTTCGAATGCTGATGGGTGTATTGATTTGGAAACAAGCTGGGTTAAAAAGGCATTGGTCTTGTACACAGAGTCGGGTTGAGCTAATCCGCCGTCGATATTCCAGGCCCGAGCACTATTGACAGCCTAATGAATAGAAGTGGGGAAAAAACCCAGACTCAGGGCCTTTATTTTTCCTCTTCCCTCCCTTTTCATTTTCCTTTTCCTCTTCAAGCAATCAAGCTGACTAACCAGAGCCGGACTTTCTCCATCTCCATTAAGCGCGGAGGGAAGCGGATGCATTGCCAGCTCCGGTTCTGGCTGTTTATCTTGCAATCTCTTATTACCTGCCCGAGTTTCTTAAGCCAAAGTCTATCACCAGCAAGTTCTGAAGTCGCTATCAGATGCTGGGGTGATGCAGGACAATTTCTATCTGTTCTCTTCTGATTCCCATTTCCTGACCTAAATTTCCTGTATCACCAGACATCCAGGCCCATCCCTCCCGTGTCCTGCTGTATCATTAGGAAGAGATATTTGGGTACTGCAGGAAAAGGTCAGAGCTTAACTCCTTGCAGCAGTTAAGTACGGGATGATTCAGTGATGGGCTCAGTCCTGTAAATGTGCTGAAGCTCCTCATGCTGCCTGCAGAAATTCCAGCTCTGGAGAGCGAGCCCCCTAATTTGAAGAGCTGTTCTTTGGCTCACCCAGCCCTTTCTCAGAGCAGGACATGAAAGTGAATTACCATGTCCAATTAAAGGGAAACGTGCCTTAATGACCTCGACGAAAATTGGACTGGGGTGCCAGGATTAACTCTCCTGCCTTGGAAATTGGGCCCTATAAATATGTTTTCTCTAATAATCCTGCCCAGAACAGCATTCAGCTTGTGGGAAGTGGTGCTTATTCACCCCCCTAGAAAAGCAGGGTGGCCCAGTACCAGATTTCAGGGATGTGCCAAGTTCAGCACACGGCCCTGGGACATTTTGCCCCTTCCTGATAGGGGCAACCTGATAGGAAAGGAGAGGTGATGTGAGGAGGTGAGAAAAGAGGTGTCTCCTTTTTAACAGGTTTAGCCAGGAAGAGAGCAGTGTGCAGGTTGCTCTAAGCAGGTCCTGAGTTTCCCCTTGCTGCACCAGCAAAGGGCCTGGAGGCACAGCTCTGGAGGCAGGAGCTCTCCAGGCTCTCAGGATGCAATTAAATCGTGCCCCGGGGCAGGCTGTGCTCTCCAAAGGGACTGGCAGCTGGGGGGGCAAGGAGCTCTTCCCCTTCCAGCCAGGATTGCAGACGCCTGCTGCTCCCCCAGGCAAGCAGGGTGCATATCAGCCAGGCCCTGACGCTCTGAGCCTGTGCCTGCATCCCTGCTCCTCCCCAGGTTTAGGGAATATTGCTGGGAAACAGCCATGGATGGAGGGCATCCGTGGTTTTGGCCAAGGGCTGCTGGAGGGAAGCAGAGTTATGGGAGGCTGGAGAGCAAAAAACAGGAGAGGGATAGGGGTGGGAGAAAGATATTCCTGCAGGGTATGAGGGTCAGGAATGATCCCCAAGGAGAGAATCAGGTAGAAACACCCAGATCTGATGATCCCCACACTGCAGCAAGGGGTGAGCTGCACATTTATTTCTAGGTTGGCTCTACTGGATGGCCGAGATCCCAAAATAGGTGGGGAGAAGGCACCTCAAGAGCTAATTTATCCTGTCCCCCCGCAACCAGGCAGAGACCTCGCTGCCAAGAACATGTGAAAGCTATTCTTGAAAATCTTTAACAAAGCAGGTTCTTCAGTCTCCCCAGACAATCTATTCTACTGCTTTGCTACCTTTTTAATTAGAAAATGTATAGCTAATATCTAACTTAAACCTTCTTTGTTGCAAATGAACTGGAGTTTTTCTCAGCTTATTCCCAGTGGATGTGGGGAACAATTGATCAGTGTCCTCTGTAATAACCTTTTGCTTTTGGAAGGTTGTTATCCCGGTGCCCCTTAGCCGCCTTCTTTCTGAAACCATCCAAGCTCTGTTTTTCCCACCTTTCCTCATTGGCCAGGCTTTCAGAAACACTTGTCAGTCTTAAAATCCTGGTACAAAAGGGAAAAGGTGATTGCTGCTGATCCAGGAATAGCAGGTCGGTGCCTCTGTGCTAATGTGGGACAAATGAGCTCAGGAATGAGACAGCAGACCCTTGGCACCAAACGCACCAAAGTTCAGCCTGCTATTTTGGGGACTGCTCTAAATGGGGTCAGGCTGGTGGTGCCAAGCTGATGTCAGCCAACAACAGAGCTGCCAAAGGGACAGGGAGGTTCTCAGTACCTGGATCTCTCTTGGAAAAATGCACCCAGATTACAGACAGAGCTAAAATGAGCAGCTCAGGGAGCATCCCTGTCACCTGCAGGGTCTGGAAGGTGCTCCCACTCCTTCAGTACACGTTCCTTCTTAGGAGGAGTTGCCATAAGACCAGACAAAGCACCAAAAACCAGCACTGCCTGTGTTTGCAGGTATCTGCCTTGAACTTTGGGGAGAGCGAGACGTTTTTGGGAGTAAATCCCAAAGAAACAAAATCCAAGGAAGCCCCACTTTCAACAGGTAAACTGTGAACTTGGAGTGGGGCAGAAACCCAGAGTGAGGAAGAAGATTTAGGTCTCACTGACCTCTGAGGAGCGATGATTTTCCTTCTTCTCTTCTCCTGTATCCCACTCTGGTTTCCTAAGCAAATCCTACTTCTTGCAGCAGCATCTCAGGCACAGCCTCCCCCTTCTCCCTGCTCCCTGCAGGACATTCCAGCTATTTAAGCCATTCTCCGGGTTCCTGGGTTTAAAGGAGAGAGGGGAGGTAGGAGGAGAAGGACGATATCTGAAAAGCTTCTATTTGTATTGATAATAAGCCGTCTCCAATGCGTGCCTGCAAAACACTCCCCCTGCCTTGTAAGATGCATTAAGGGAACTTGGCCTTATCTCAGTGCGGGAAATGGACTTGGGGAAGGAGGCACGGAGCCTGCCAGAGTTTAATCTCACTTAGGCACACGAATTTGCATGATAGAAAATGGTGGAATTTTAGTGTTTAAAAAGAAAGAAAGAAGGGAAAAAAAAAAAAAAAAAAAAAAAAAAAAAGG